TGAGGCCACTGAATAGGAATGTAAACCCAATTCCAATATTTAATGCCCTGACATACAGGGTTGGCAGGTCATCCAGTGTTATTTGTCTAAGAATGAGGACCAATAAAATCTAAGGAAAGTATACTGAATAGCCCCATATGATCAGTGATCTTATCATCAGGCAAAATGTATACCTATACCTGTCTTTTGATTGTAAACTAGGGAGTACCCCCAAACACAGTGGTAAAGACTCAAATCCTAAGCATATGTTATAGTGTGTTCCTTCCTCAGCTGGATGAGTAAGACCTCCATGGTCCCACAGAAGGGGAAAATACACACTGTCATGAGTATATATCACTGAGCCTTGATCTAGCCAATCCACTAATCTTAACAATGGTGGGTGAGGGACGTAGGCCCGATACACATGTTCACTACAGGTAAGCAGTGCATCTATGGTCAAAAACAGATGTTCAGGTATTCTAGGGCTTTTAGCATTGACCAGAATGGCTTCTCCCTTGTCTGACAATGCCTTAATCTGTTGGTGTGGCAGTGTCTGGCTAGTTTTCTTGTGATAAGGATGATGGCGTGATTGGGTCTTCACGTTTAGGCCTACAAAATGGCATGCGAATTCTTCTTTCTCAGGTTTAGGTTGTACTGTTCTCATCTCTCTGGGGTCAGATGAGCAAAGAGGAACCTATATGTTGTTGGTGAATCCATCTGGAATGCTAGCAGCATACCCTTTCCGACTATGGGTCATTAGTCCTGGTTCCCATTTATCAAATTCTTTAAACCATATGGGAATATGCTATTGAGATGGAGCTGGAGAGGTAAAATGCTTTTCAGCTCTAGTATAGGGATCACCTGGAGGTAAACTTAAAAAGTTTAAATAAGGTTAAGGCAAGAAGTTCCCTTGGGATTCCCCCTTTTTTTGTTTTTTAATCATTGAAGCTTAAGTGTTTTATGGGCTTGTTCCACAATGTCCTGGCCTTGAGGATTATACGGAATGCCAGTGATAGGTTTAATTTGCCATTCCCTGCAAAATGCAGCAAAGCCCTTACTTGTATAAGTGGGACAATTATCTGTTTTTATATCATGACAGGAAAAGTAAGTTTAAATGTGGTAATTGTTGCTTTGGCTGATTCTGAGGACATGGGCACTGCCCATATGAAGGAAGAGAAGGTATCTACAACAACATGTAAATAAGATTGCTTTGGAAATACAGCAGTATGAGTAACATCCATTTGCCACAAAACGTTACTGGAATCTGCTCGTGGGTTTGCACTGGCTGAGTGGGAAGTACAATGTAATGGGCCACAAACATCATAGTCTTGAACAATGGCTTGGGCTTGGTGAAAGGAAATATGGTAATAAGCGTGTAAATGCTTGGCATTAGTATGCAATAAGTCACATTCTTGCTGGGTAGTTTGTAAATTTCTACATAGACTAATTAAAGAAGTTTTATCCAGGGCCTGACTATAGTAAAATCCTCTGGTACTTTCCTGCTTCTATAGGCTGGCATCTCATTGGTTTTTAAGGCTACCTTTTAGGCAGTGGCCCCAATTAATCAGGTAACTTATCAGCTTTTTACTAACCAGATTTCTTTTAAATAAGGCTAGGATTTCCTAGGCAGACATAGAAGTCTTGGGCCTGTAATCCTTTATTCTTACACACTTGTTATCACTATTTCTATGCCTCTTTTTTTTTTTTTATCCTGCCTCATTTTTTTCAAAGAAATGACTCTGGTCCCTTGATCTTAAAAAGGGGCTGATGGCAAAAGTCCATCTTCTGTAACTTCTTCAAACTGACTCAGGGATGCTAGGAACCTATAACCTTAGCTTACTTTATATAACGTTAGCATTTTCCTTTGGTGGGTCACTGGACTTGAACTCAGGACCTGAGCACTGTCCCTCAGCTCTCCAGCTCAAGGCTAGCACTCTGCCACTTTGAGCTCCAAAGAAACTCTACCTGCTTTTTCAGTGCTCTGCTGGCCAATTAGGGATGACAATCTCACAGGGGCCTTTCTCTGCCCAGGTTGGCTTTGAACTGCAGTTTTCAGATCAATGAGTCTTACATAAGCCACTTTACTCCAATTAAAAGCAAGAAAGATGGTCAACATGGAAGTAGTTTTTTTGTTTGTTTTTATGTTTTTGTTTTGTCAGTTATGGGGCTTGAACTCTAGGTCTGGGCACTGTCCTTCAGCTCTTCAGCTCAAGGCTAGTGCTCTACCACTTGAGCCACAGTACCACTTTCGGTTTTCTGGTGGTTTATTGGAGATAAGAGTCTCACAGACTTTCCTGTCCAGGCTGGCTTTGAACTGCAATCCTCAGATCTCAGCCTCCTGAGTAGCTAGGATTACAGGTGAGAACCACTGGTGTCCACTTTGGAAGTAGTTTTTTTAAGCATGTTCTTACCTGGAACTTATTAAGGGCTAAAGTTACATCTGACAAATCTGTAAGATTCCTCTGTTCTTCTCTGTGGGCCTTCTGGAAACTTACCAAAAGTTTATAAGGGCAAAGTAAAATAGCAATTAAACTATCATTTTAATAGTCCTAATGTTTTCTTTTTCCGCTTTGAAACATTTAAGACAATTTTACTTCCAAATTTCATATCCCAGAATCCATTCTTGATTTTTAAAATCCTTTGACTAACCTCTGCTTTAGCACTTTATACTTCAGTTTTCATTTCCATTTAAAGAACCTCTTGAAATCTTGAGGGGCTTAGTAACACCCATTTCTTTTTGACTGCCTGTTTTACAGCAAATATATTTTATTTATTTATTTTTCAATCTAAATTCCCTTTTAGAAAACCTTTGAATTCAGACAACAGTTTTTTTTTCCTTAATGCAAAAATTACAATCACCAGCACGATACCAAAAATCAAGACTCAACACCTTTTTGTCCTTTAAAACACATATCCAATTGCAAAATAGCATTAAAACCAAATTCTATCACACAAATAAACTTTTAACCCTCCTTTTGAAGTTTTTTTTTCCTATTTTTTAATATATCTGAGGGGTGGTTCTAGCAACACCAATCACATCATCACATCACTCACTTTACCACCAGATTTCTAGTGTCCAGCTGCAAGGGAAAGAGACGGGACAAAGATAAGCTACTTGGTCCCTCCTATGGAATGGACTGATACTCATCTGACCCGTTAGCATTAGATGAACTGCCTTTGAGCCAGCTTGCTCCTCTCCCGCCATGGGTGGGATCTCTGAGCTGCACTTCTGCCTGGTCACCCCTCACCAACAGGTTTTCTGTGGGCTTATCTTAAGTTTTCCCTTTCCTTTTCTTTTGGTTCTTAACTGAAATACCCAAGCAGCTTTAGACAATCAGAACAGGTGAAGTCTTTAGCAGTGCTAAGTAAACCTTTACATTTAAATTCTAATACCCCAAATTTTAGCCCAGGGAAAAAAATCCCAAATCTCCAATGCCTCTTTGCTAAGCAAGATAATGTGATTACAGTGTAAAACACCATAGGCATTTTAAAACGCCAGATTTTAAAATACCAGATTTTTCTAATTCTCAAATTTAAAAAATTCCTAGAAAGCCTTTAAAACAATGCAATAATTCTTTAAAACTTGTGGCAGCATCCAAACTTCATAACCTTTGTGAATTTTAAACTTAAATTCACTTAAATATTTATAGCATGCTGACAGTTTTCCATCTTAAATATGCTCACACACATTCAAACACACACACAGCTATTAAAGCGCACAAAAAAGGAAAATCAATTGTACATACACTTTCTGAAATCTTCAGTGACAAGAGACCTTCTTCCTATCTTACTATTCCAGCTGACAAAAAATTAAGGTGATACCTTTTAACAAAGTGCCTTTCCCAGGCCATAATTTTATTTTTTCCAAGGCTTGCTTGTTTTGCCAGGCATTTTACCAACTGGCCTTTTGAATACCTTCAGCTGGTGAAGGCTGGGTGAGGGTCACTTGAAACTAAACTGGCCTGACTCTTTCCAATCTTAAACAAGAGCGCCTTACAACTATTTACAATGCCATGACCAGCCAAATGTCTGAACCAAGTTCACAGCCATCTTACACTCTCCCTTCCTGCAGCATCCACAGGGAGAAAATGCAGCCTGAGGCTGCATTTCTATATGTTCTCCTGGCCTATGAGCTCTTCTTACATTGTTTTTAATTCTCCGTCATATTTCTTCTTCCAAAGTTCCCTTGTTGGGGAGCCATGGTTTATATTTCAGAAGTTGTGTCTTGGACAATTTTGCCCCCCTTTTCTTAAGAAAATGGTGTACTAAATCAACAAAAGGCTGAGCTCGGCTTCCTGACTGTCCCATAATGAAAAAAATTCCCACTTACCTCTTTCTATGGGACACCACATCTTTCTAGTAGAACTGCTCCAAGTCCCTGGTTGTTTACCACTTGTTGCTTTTCACACAGCGAGACTCAGGAATCCAATGTCTGGTAGGCAGAGAGTGGACCACACCATGCAGGTATAGATAAAATTTATTAAAAACACCACATGCTTATATACAGCATACAGGCAAGGAAAGTAAATCTTCAGTCAGGGGACAGAAAGTTAATCTTAAACAGTCTTACATATGTGCAGACAATGGGAGTTAATCTGTAGTCAGTAAACAGGAGAAGTTAATCTTTGTCAACAAATATGAAGCAGTTTTACGTGATCAAAGGTTGCGAAGAACAAGCAAAGTGCAGGTGAGCTATCTTAGACACACAAAGGGAGGCATTGTCTATGGGGTTATTCAGAGGAGCACCAAGAGGCTTATGGTCAGGCATCCAGACTGTTGCCCAGACTTTGAAGGAGTTTTTCTCCTTCTCCCCGAGGCAATGCATGCTGGCATACCCAACCTCACAGCACAGAAGTCCTCAGATGGATCACAGGAGCCAGTGTCTGACAGCATTACAGGCGTGAGCCACCAGTGCTGGCACAACCTCTTGATTTTTAGCCTCTGGCCATTCTTGTCAGCTGCTGGGCTAGCCTAGCCACCCTGCTTTTCCAGGCTCTAGCTAACGCTTAGGTCTCTTCCAGGTGGTGACACCTCTGGGGACAACCATGGCTGTCCAGGTGCTTCAGCAGGCGGCGCTGTTCCTACTGAGTCTGCTCTTCCTGGTGCAAGGTAGCATTTCCTGGGGCCTGGGGCTGTTGTGACTTTCGGCAAACACCCTTATTATCTAGGCAGCTGTTGCCAGCCTTTGGGCAGGCGCAGGGGTGCAGACACAGCTTAGCAGGTGAAGGGAACCATGGAGAAAATTAGAAAGGCACCTACCTCTTCTTGGTGATGGAGAGCTGCTTGGGGTGAGGAACATGAACTGGGTTTCAGCCCAGTTTGCCTTGTGGTAAGCATTCTCTGTCGGTGCACACAGCCTGTGCAACTGTCCGTGGCGGTCCTACCTCATTAAATACTTGATTGCTATTAAAGTATACATTGCCTTTGGAATCATAGCCTTCTTTTTAATTTTTTCTTGACATAGTTTGAATCCAGGATATTTTTTGTTAGCAGGATTTTCACAAATGTTTGTGGAGCTTTTGAATGGGAGGCCATAAGACCATGTCCCAAGCTTTGAGTTCACAGACTCTTAAGCTCAAATTCTGTTCCCTCTCCTGGCCCCTGCCGGTCCCTGCCACAGCCCACTTGCAGCCTCTGCCTCTTCAGGTGCCCATGGTGGCGGTCCCCGGGAAGACTTCCGCTTCTGTGGCCAGCGGAACCAGACCCAGAAGAGCGACCTCCAGTATGAGCAGACGCCGGAGCTGCGGATCACCATCAGTAACTCAGAGGAGGCCCTCACCATCCGGGCCCCCTTTCCCGCTGCTCCTGAGGCCTCCCGGGCCTTCCCAGAGCCCAGGGGCATCTACCACTTCTGCCTGTACTGGAGCCGCCAGTCTGGGAAGTTCCACCTGCGTTATGGCAAGAATGATTTCCTGCTCAGTGACCAGGCCTCCAGCCTCCTCTGCTTCCGGCATCAGGAGAGCCAGGTGCAGGGGCCCCCATTGCTGGCCACCTCCATCAGCTCCTGGAGGAACCCTGAAAACACCAGCCTGCCTGGGGCTTCCAGCTTCACCTTCGCCTTCCATAGTAAGGAGCTTCCCAGGGGGAGGAGCAGGGGCTGGAGGAGGCTGAGGAGGGGAGGCTGAGGCAGGGAGGCTAGAGGCAGATGGCGGGTAGGTTGGGAAGGGCCCTGGGAGGGGCAGATGCTGCTTCAGGGATCCCTCAGGCAGAGCCTTGCCTGGCAGGCCTCGTGGCTCAGTGGCCTGGGAAGTCAGTGTGTCCCCTGGGACCCTCGGTCTCAGGCAAAACGAGGCAGAGCACAGAGTTGCTGCAGATCACGAGGTGGGGGGGGGTGTGGGCCAGGCCCTCGGTCATGATCTCAGCCTGTCTCTGTCCCCTCTGCAGAGCCCCATCACGCCTCCCACAACACATCAGCCTCAGTGGACATGTGCGAGCTGAAGAGTGTCCTCCTACGGCTCAGCCAGCTCCTGCAGCAGCCACACAAGGCCTCCAGGAGGCCCTCGGCCACCCTGGCCAGCAAGTAAGTGTCGCCCCAGGACTGGGGGACCATCACCACCCCACGAGTCCATGCTAAGTCCCAGGGTGTGCCTCGTAGCTGCCTCATCCCGCCCAGGCTGCCCCTTCTCTTATCCCTGCCTTTCCTACCCCTGTACCTGCCTGAGGCCCTGCTTTCTGCCTCACTCTCTCCCCATCATCCACCGTGTTCTCCTCCCACCAGGCAGCTGCAGAGCCTGGAGTCAAAGCTGGCCACTGTGAGCTTCCCGGGGGACAAGGTGTCCTTTGAGGAGGACCGAGTCAACGCCACCATATGGAAGCTGTGGCCTTCCGCCGGCCTCCAGGACCTCCACATCCACTCCCGGCAGGAGGTGGGTTGTTGGTGGGGAAGCAGGGAGGCATGCTCCAGGGTCTCCACTGGGGTCTCCCTGTGGACAGAGCTGGCCCATGAAGCCCTGGGCCATAGGCTACCATATGGGGCCCAGGGCCTGTGTGGCCCAAGCCCAAGGCTCCTCAGCTACAGCAGGTGCCAAAGAAAGGGACAAGGCTGAGCACTGATGTCAGGCTTGGTTTCCTGGAGAAGGAGCTCAGGAAAGGCTGGATCCAGAGTCTGCTCTGGGCTGGGCCCTAACAGAACCTTTGTGCACAGGAGGAGCAGAGTGAGGTCCGAGAGTACTCCGTGCTGCTGCCCCGCGCCCTCTTTCAGCAGACCAAAGGCCGGCGCGGAGAGGCGGCCAAGAGACTGCTCGTGGTGGACTTCAGCAGTCAGGCTCTGTTTCAGGTACTGGGGTGCCTCCCTTGCTGCGTTCCCTGGAGTCAGTTTTTCTCTGGTGAAGAGATGCGGGAAGATCCTGCCGCCCACCTTCCTCTCCTAGCCTGTCCTAGGAAAATCTTGCCAGCAGTTTGGTTGAGATTTGAGGACTGGGGTTTGAAGCCAGCCTGGGTAGAAAATTCTGTTAAGTCTCTTATCTCCAAATAATCACCAAAGAAGCTGGAAGTGGTGCTGTGGCTCAAGTGGTAGAGCACTAGCCTTAAGCAAAATAAAAACTCAGTGACATTGCCCAGGCCCTGTCTGCAAGCCCAGGACCCCAAAACTGGCTCCAGAGGGAGACTCAGGCGCTCAGAGAACTCTGGGAATGACAAGAGTCTAGAGAGACAAGGGAATCTTCTGGACTTTTCTCCACTGGGGTCTCCCTGCAAAGTTCATGGCCCACGACAGAGCTGGCCCATGAAACCCTGGGCTACAGGCCACCATGTGGGGCCCAGGGCCTGTGTGCCCCAAGCCCGAGGCTCCTCAGTCACGGCAGGTGCCAAGGAAAGGAGGGACAAGGCTGAGCACAGATGTCAGGCTGAGCCCTGTCCTTCCCTGCCCTCTTTCCCCAACTCTGCATGTCTAGGACAAGAATTCCAGCCAAGTCTTGGGCGAGAAGGTCTTGGGCATCGTTGTTCAGGACACCAAAGTCTCCAACCTCTCAGAGCCGGTGGTGCTCACCTTCCAGCACCAGCCCCAGCCAGTGAGTGTGGGCAGCAGCCTGGGTACAGGGCGTCCAGACAGAGTCTGGGCCTCTGGTTAGGGGCGGGGCCCTGGAAATGGGCAGGGCTTCCTTCCAAGGGGGCGGGGCCTCAGAACAGGCAGGGCCTCTAATTGTGGGTGGGTCCCTGAGAATGGGGCGGGGCCTCCCATCCCAGCTGACATGTTCTCAGTGTAAGGCTGAGGCTTGAACCCCCGCGTGGGTAGGGGGTGCAGCCACAGGGGCTTATACCCCTTCTCTTTGGTCCCCACAGAACAACATCACCCTCCAGTGCGTTTTCTGGGTTGAAGATGCAGCACGTGAGTCTGGAGGGATCTCTGGGTGGACAAGTGTCTGGAGAACTAGGGTCTTGAGAGGGGGGTGGGGGAGGCGAGGCTCCCCCAGGGGTTTCCTGGAGGGCTGGGCTTGGTGGAGGGAGGGGCAGTGGGCAGATATGCAAAGACCTACCCAATAACTGGGGGACACAGATACCCTGGGAGGTGAGCTGATCAGGGCTCATACCCCCTGTCCCCTCAGCCGGCAGCCCCGGGAGCTGGAGCAGCGATGGGTGTGAGACTGTCAGGGGAGAAACTCAGACGTCCTGTCTCTGCAGCCACCTGACCTACTTCGCAGTGCTGATGGTGGGTCCCTTCCCCCCACCCCCACCCCACCTCACTTCACCTCCCACAGGCTTTGTATCTGCCAGGCCTGTGCTTAGCAACTCAGGCATTAACTTCCTTCTGAATCCATGTTTTCCTCTGAGCTCATCCCCTTGTCCCATTTTATAGTTAAGGAAAGAGCTGGTTTGTAAGGCTGTTGCTCCTTATTCCTAGATTTTTGACATTAAAAATGCAGGCACCTGCTCCTAACTACAAGGGCTGGGGCAGGGAGACTTTAATAGGCCCCTGCCTGGAGGCTGAGGCCCAGCATGGAGGCCCCTCAGGTGGGCTCCATTGTTTCTGGGAGCTCTGAAACTCCTGCTCTAACTTCATGTTCCCAGAGTCCTCTGGGCATGGGAAGCTCATTCTGTCACAGAAAACCAATCTTCATGCTGGGTGTCATAGAAACATACAGACACCGCTCCACTCATAATGGGGTTGCATTCTGGTGAACCTATTGTGAATTGAACATCCATTTTAAGTGCATCATCCAGGTATGATGGTGTATGCCTGTAATCCCAGCATTTTAGAGGCTGAGGCAAGAGGATTGCAAATTCCAGACCAATACACACACACACACACACACACACAAGCCAATAAAAAGTGGGGGCAGTGTCAGTGACGTTTGTAGGTGGAACACAGTTGTGGCTCACTGCCCAGCACCTCAAGCGAGTACAGTGAGACATTATTAGCTAAGAGAAGCCAAGTTCAAGTTCCAAATATGGTCTCTGTCTCTTGCCTATGGCCCTTGTACCAATATGGTCTTGGAAACTCCTAAGTGGAACCAGTGTCAAGGGGAACACCTGTAATTCAGGCTGAGCAGTGGTCTTTTGGTGAAATGGGGAGGATATGTGTAGGTCACACTTGGGCCCCAGATCCTTCCAGAAGAATGCATGTGGTGGGAGGGCCCCTCACCCAAGAGGGCACAAAGGCCCCTCTCCAGGGAGACCCCCATGGAGGTGGGACACTGAGACGCCCCTGTCCCTGCCCAGGTGTCCTCAGTGGAGGTGGACGCCACCCACAAGCACAACCTCACGCTCCTCTCCTACGTGGGCTGCGTCATCTCTGCCCTGGCCTGCGTCTTCACCATTGCTGCCTACCTGTGCTCCAGGTAGGCCTGCTGGGCCTCGGGCAGGTCCTGAAATGAAGAAGGGGAAAGGAAAAAAAAAGATGGAGAAAGAAGAAGAGGGAGGAGGAAAAGAGAGGGAGAAGAGGAAGGAGAAAGGAGAGAGGAGGAGGAGAAGGAGGAGGAGGAAGAAGAGGAGAGGAGGAGAAGGAGAAGGAGGAGGAGGAGGAGAAGGAGGAGGAGGAAGAAGAGGAGAGGAGGAGAAGGAGAAGGAGGAGGAGGAGAGGAGGAGGAGGAAGAGGAGGAGGAAGCAATGACGAGTAAGGAGGAGGAGGGATGGAGAGGAAGTGGAGTAGGAGAATGAGGAATGAGGAGAAAGAGGAGAAGGGGGATGAGGAGGTGGAGTTGACCCCACCCCTGATCTTCCTTACCCCCCCCCCCCCAGCAGGAGGAAACCTAGAGACTACACCATCAAGGTGCACATGAACCTGCTCCTGGCTGTCTTCCTGCTGGACGTGAGCTTCCTGCTTAGTGAGCCGGTGGCGCTGTCAGGCTCCCAGGCTGCCTGCCGAGCCAGCGCCATCTTCCTGCACTTCTCTCTGCTGGCCTGCCTGGCCTGGATGGGCTTGGAGGGCTACAACCTCTACCGCCTCGTCATCGAGGTCTTCGGCACCTACGTCCCTGGCTACCTGCTCAAGCTGAGCGCCGTGGGCTGGGGTGAGTGAGGGGAGGAGGCTCCCCTGAGAACTTCCTCTGCCGCCTTGCTTCCTTCATCCACCGGTCCCCAGGGGTCCCTACACCTGGGCTGGGCCAGGCCTGGCCCCAAGACACACTTTCAAGTACTACCACTGCTGCCTCTTTGAGAAGGGCTCTGCAGATGGGGTGGCTGGGCACCGCTGTACAGGTTGTACACCCCTCAAGAGCACCCAGCTGGGGTTGAGCCATGATGTCCAGGCACTCACACTTGAGCCATTTGGGACATAGCATAGACTCTGACTTCCCCCAGCTCACCCCCCTTCAGGTCCTGGGAGCTCTTTCATTGGCTGGGCCTGGCCCAAGGTGGGAGGTGGGGCCCCTTCAGGGAGCCTCCCCTCTCCCCTCCTGATAGACCAGGTCTGACCCCAGACAGCTCCTTATTCAGAACTCTTGTTGTCCTCCTCTATTTCCCCGCTTCTCCCCCGCCCCCCAACTGTCCTGTCTGCCTCCCCCCTCAGCAGGGATCTCAGGCCCTTTGTCTTGGGCCTCTAGGATGGAGGTGGGAACACAGTTAGGGGAGGACCTCCCTTTATGGGACAGCCACACTGGAATGGGGAAGGTGGTTCAACCTTCAACTTGGAGCCCTGGCCCTGGAGGGTCCTCCCTGCCTCCCCTGACCTACCTGAGGGGAGGGTATGATGAGCCTCTGCTACCCTCAGGCTTTCCCGTCTTCCTGGTGACGCTGGTGGCTCTGGTGGACGTGAACAACTACGGCCCCATCATCCTGGCAGTGCACAGGACTCCAGAGCGGGTCAGCTACCCTTCCATGTGAGTGTGGGGAAGGGATGGGGTGACAGGGGCCGGGGTCGGTCCTATTCCTGAGCCTCCGTTTCCTTGTGGGAGGCGGATCTGGACTGCAGCATGCTGGCTCCCATGGATATGGGAAACCGGAAGCTGGAAGCCTGGAGAGCCACACGCCTGGTCATGCTCACTGCGCCCATGGTCACCATGTTATTATTTATACTTCAGTTTGAACTCAGGACCTCACACTTAGGCAAATGTTCTGCCACTTGAGCTATGTCTCCAGCTTGATAGCATTTAAAATTTTTATTCTTTGACTGTACTAGGTTTTGAACTCAGGACCTCCAGCTTGCTTGCTTGGTGTTCTACCACTTGAACCATGCCTTCACCCTGGCTTTTTCCTACAGACTTTTCTTCCCAGGGCTGGCTTTGAACCATGATCCTCTGGATCTCAGCCTTCTGAGTAGCTAGGACTACAGGTGTGAACTGCCAACATCTCCCTTGATATCATATTTATGTAGTACTTTAAATTATCTGACTTGTTAATTGAATGCATTTTACAAAGAAATGGCACCAACCCTACTTTCCATAAACTGAGAATTCAATGGGGGACATGCTCTTCCACCCAGCCGTGTGTTGACTCCTCCTTTCCCCCACCAGGTGCTGGATCCGTGACTCCCTGGTCAGCTACATCACCAACCTGGGCCTCTTCAGCCTGGTGTTCCTGTTCAACATGGCCATGCTGATCACCATGGTGGTACAGATCCTGCGGCTGCGGCCACACAACCAGAAGTGGCCCCACGTGCTGACCCTGCTGGGCCTCAGCCTGGTCCTTGGCCTGCCCTGGGCCTTGGTCTTCTTCTCCTTTGCTTCTGGCACCTTCCAACTTGTGGTTCTCTATCTCTTCAGCATCATCACCTCCTTCCAAGGTAAGCATGGGAAGAGCCGCCCCTGGCGATGGTGTAGGAAAGCCTGGGGTTTCCCTTCTCTGGGCTCAGTCTTCCTAATCCAGACCTGGGGGCACCCTCCAGGCCTCAGTTCTATGGAGCACCTACATTGTAGGTCCTGTGCTGTCCCTGGGGTTACAGTCCTGAGCTCATGGGGGGGGAAGAGACTAATCATGCACAAAGCCAGCTCACAGCCACCAGGCAATCTCAGTATAGGGATGTCAGGGTGGGCCCTACAGAGAAGGCAAGAGCAGAGGCTCTGAGGTCAGAATGATTTATGTGTTGGGAGAATGGTTAGGAAGGCTACAGGGTAGCCAGTGTGAGGCAGGGCAGAGGGAAGGATCTTGGTTTGAGGCCCAAAGGATCATACGTGTATCCCCACATTCAGTACACGTATGTTTCTGTCTGGGCTGTGCAGATTTGTAGGCTTGTTGTGTGGCCAGGCCAGGAGTTTACATAGGGTCTCAGCTTTCTACATAGGATCGCTGTTTTTGTTTTTTTTTGCCAGGCTTGGGACTTGAATTCAGGGCCTGGGCACTGTCCTTGAACTTTTCATTTTTTGTCTTGTTTACCCTGAGCTTTTTATAACTCATGGCTAATGCACTACTACTTGAGCCACAGCTCTACTTCCAACTTTTTGGTGGTTAATTGGAGATAATCACACACTTTCTTGAAAGCTTTGAACCACGCTCCTCAGAGTAGCTAGGATTAGAGACATGAGCCACCTGCGCCCAGCTCAAATTTAAAGTCTTAATCTTCTAAAGCTGAGGATCTTAAGTGATGCACACACACACACACTCTCTCTCTCTCTCTCTTCTCTCTCTCTCTCTCTGAACATAATAAAACAGCAGCACTAGGGCATGACTCAAGTAGTAGAGCATCTGCCTAGCAAGTACAAGGTTCGGGTTCAAACCCCATTATATCAAAAAAATAAATCCCAGCAGCACTGTCTAGTGCCTGAGCCAGAAGTATGTTGGGCCTGTGGTGGGTGAGGTGACTGGGAGTTGGAGTGGGGAGGGCCGGTGGCTGCACGCCTGTTCACTCCTGCCTCTGTCTCCCTGCTTGCAGGCTTCCTCATCTTCCTCTGGTACTGGTCCATGCGGCTGCAGGCCCGGGGAGGTCCTTCTCCTCTGAAGAACAGCTCAGACAGCGCCCGGCTCCCCATCAGCTCTGGTAGCACCTCATCCAGCCGCGCCTAAACACCCCAGCGTCCACTCTGTGTGAGGGCAGAGACATGGCTCCCCCATTGTCTACAGCCACCGCTGGCCTCAGCCTACCACTGGGCAGTGGCAGACTGGAGAAGGCCCTGTTCCCTGGATGGATGAATGAATGGATGGATGGATGGAACAGTTGCCATGGTAACCAGATGCCCACCTGGCCTTGAGGACCACTCTCAGCTCCCAGTTCCAACTCCCAAGGATTCCGGACTATGCTGCCATGCTGGTGGGAAGGATGTCCCCACGACTGATCAAACCTAGGACTCAGGCCTTGTTTCTCCTGACTTCTCTGAGCTCAGCTGACTCCACAGCATCAGGGCCAGGCTTGGATGTTAGATGCCCAGACACAGCTACCCAGGCTGTTACGACTCTGAACCAGTCACTACACAGCATTCTGCAGCCCTGGTCCTTTTAATTTGGGCAGCAGCAAGGACAAGTAGAGCTGGACAGAGAGTTGGGCTGGAGTCCTGCAGGTGGTGAGGCCCTCCTTCAAAGGCTACCTCAGAGCCCAGAGCCTCTCCCTCCACCAGATTCCCAGAGCCCCTTTTTTCCCTGCTCCCCTCCTGAGCTTTCCCTACCCTCTGCCCACAGCCTGGGGCCTCCAGTTCCAATGCTGTTACTTTGGGAAGCGATTCCCACCCAGCCTCCTGGTGCCTGCTGTAAACTACCGTGGCTTCACGGGCCTTGGATGTCTCTCGTATGGACACCTGGGCGGGGCCATGTGGCCTGTGTGTCAGTGCTGTCCTTGATCACCCCTCAGAGGGACCCTCCTGTGGCAAGAACTATGGGACAGTCCTGGCACTCTAGAAGACTGGGACATTCCTTCTGCTGACCCTAGTTTGAGCCAGACTTCTCACCTATAAGGTGGTCTTCAAATCCCTGCAGATGGCTGCCTGTCATGGGGGACTCTGCCCAACACTCATTCACCACTCACCAGCCTGTGTTAGGGTGGCAGGGACACAGATAGACAGATCTGGTGGGCTCTTCCTGCAAACTCAGCTTAGAATACAAGGCCCTGGGGCTATAGGTACAAGGTAGGAGCCAATACTCTTTGATGGGCATGTAGGAAATCTTCTGGAAGAGGCAGCATTTTATCTTGACCTCAGCCTTCAAGATGAAGACTGTGTTCTTTTTAAGTGTCAGTTTGTTCATCCTATTTTGATGTTTGTTTTTTTTGGTGGGGGGAGAGGGGAAACAGAGCTATAGAGCCTCAGCTGATCCCTCTTGCCTCTGCCTTCTGAGAGCTGGGATTATAGGTGTTGACCACCATGCTCAGCACTCATTTGTCTTTTGATATTAAAAAGGAGGATGTGTTTATTGTAGAGAATCTGGAAACTGTAGAAGATTGTCAAGAGGGAAAATAAAAATCAGTTTTCTTTGCCTAACAAACGTTTGGAGCATTTCCTCCAGAGATGTTTCTTGTGTTATTGAAAACATCAAGATGCCAGTGTCTCAGGAAAGAGAAGAGGACACTGGGTGAGGGAAAATGCCAACAGCTGATGCCAGACAACTGAGAAGACAAATGGCAAGCTGGCATTCATGTTGGAGATGTAATGAGAAGTGAGGTCTGTGGCAAAGTGAGAATTAAAACCCCATGCTGAGTGACAGCTCTAGCTTCAGGTCTAGGATGCAGGAAAACAACCCATGTAGAAACCCAGGTTGGCATGAAGAATCCATGGTTTAAAACTATTGGTAGGGACTGGGAAGGTGGCTCGGTGGTAGAGTGCTTGCCTCACATGTATGAGGCCCTGGATTCAAGTCCTCGACACCACATAAGCAGAAAAAGCCAGAAGTGGCACTATGGCTCAAGTGGTAGAGTGCTGGCCTTGAGCTGAAGAGCTCAAGAGTTCAGGCCCCACAACTGACCAAAAAACAAACAACAACCACAAAAAACTATTGGTAAACTCAAAATATTCTTTAACAATGATTCAACATTTCCCCCTACTTCTCCCTGATCTTTTGGTTTTACTTTTAAGTCCTGCTAGAATGCTGGATAAATGCCTTGAAGTTTGCAGGATGTATTTTTTTTTTTAGCAAATATAATTTGCATTTCTTGCCAGAAGTTAAGCAGCCTCTGTGGGGTGTTGGAGAAATCTTTCCTTTCCTTTTTTTTGGGGGGTGGTAGGGGCGGGCATTCAAGTTCTACAATTCTGGAATAGTTGATGGATGTATAGTTAACTAGCTTTGGTTACATGTTAAACTTTGGTAACAACTGAAGAATATATTGAGTACCATTTAAAGAACAGTTGCAGAACAAGCAATTAGCTTAGATATGGAAAAAGTACTCCTGTGCCCATATTTTAATGTAATTGTGTAACTGGGAGCAAAAATATATTCTGCTTTTCAATTGTAGGTGCTCCAGACTTGCTCTCTGTCTCTAACACTAAATGAGCAGTTTCTTGTTTTTCATTAACCATCTAAGAAATTTGTGTACATTTCTTTACATTATCTTTAAATCTAAAAGGAGAGGAAAAGAGCCCAGGAAAACTTCTCATGTTTTTAGCCAGTAAGGAGGTAATAAACCCTGCTTATAGAAGCTGTTTCCATGCAAATTATACTTCTAAGCTTATTAGCTTTGAATTATATCTTAATAAATGTATTTTATTATTAGAGCAAAATGGGTTTTTAAGGAAAATAGTGTGAAATTTTGGAAATTTTCTTTTGGGCAGAGAAGAGTTATTAGCCCTGTCTTATCATTGCCATCCTGTTGAACTGCAGCTTGTGTATAGCATGCTAAAAATAAATTGTGTGTGTGTGTGTGTGTGACGAAAAACTAAGGGTCCGATTTTAAGATTGGGTGATGTTGGTGATATAATAAGTTTTCTGGCCTGACATAGCATCACATCACACACATACATGCAGTGAAATTAGTATATCCATGTATGTCAAATACAGGTAGAATAGCAGGGTATTTATATAAAGAGAGTTGTAGTCTTCTAATAAAAATAGACTGGATC